TAGTACTACACTTGATCTTAGCCAAAAGATCGAGAAAGGTGTGATTATTATTTCTTTAGATCTATAGTTTTATAAGAGACTTCCATATAATCATTTTTACTTAAAACCAATGTAGGATAAGAAAAATGAATTTTAATAGGTAATTTGTAATTTGAATTAAACTTATTAAATTATTTTTCATAAATTTTATTAGGTAATTTGTAATTTGAATTAAACTCTTTAAATAATTTTAAGGTAATTTTTGTTTATAAAAACTCTTTTTTTTATATTAATAAATAAATACTGAAAGCCAAAAGGCCGAGAAAGTAGTACTACACTTGATCTTAGCCAAAAGACTAAGAAAGGTTAGCCAAAACGTTAACCCAAAAAAATTTAGTACTACACTTGATCTTAGCTAAAAGGTCGACAAAGGTGTGATTATTATTTCTTAAGGTTTATAGTTTTTTAAGAGGCTTTCATGTAATCATTTTTACTTAAACCAATGTAGGACAAGAAAAATAATTTTTTTTAGGTAATTTGTAATTTGAATTAAACTTTTTAAATTAGTTTTTATAAATTTTATTAGGTATTTGTAATTTGAATTAAACTCTTTAAATAATTTTTAGGTAATTTTTTGTTTATAAAAACTCTTTTTTTTATATTAATAAATAAATATTGAAAGTCAAAAGGTCGAGAAAGTAGTACTACACTTGATTTTAGCCAAATGACCAAGAAAAGTTAGCCAAAAGGGCGACCCAAAAAAATTTAGTACTACACTTGATCTTCGCCAAAAGGCCGAGAAATGTGTAATTATTATTTCTTTAGGTCTATAATTTTATAAGAGGCTTCCATGTAATCTTTTTTACTTAAAACCAATGTGGGACAAGAAAAATGAATTTTATTAGGTAATTAGTGATTTGAATTAAACTCTTGAAATTAATTTTTATAAATTTTATTAGGTAATTTGTAATTTGAATTAAACTCTTTAAATAATTTTTAAGTAATTTTTTGTTTATAAAAACTCTTTTTTTAGATTAATAAATAAATACTGAATGCCAAAAGGTCGAGAAAGCAGTACTACACTTGATCTTAGCCAAAAAACCAAGAAAGGTTAGCCAAAAGGCCGACCCAAAAAAAATTAGTACTACACTTGATCTTAGCCAAAAGGCCAAGAAAAATGTGATTATTATTTCTTTAGATCTATAGTTTTATAAGAGACTTCCATGTAATCTTTTTTACTCAAAACCAATGTGGGACAAGAAAAATGAATTTTATTAGGTAATTAATAATTTGAATTAAACTCTTTAAATTAATTTTTATAAATTTTATTAGGTAATTTGTAATTTGAATTAAACTCTTTAAATAATTTTTAGATAATTTTTTGTTTATAAAAACTCTTTTTTTTATATTAATAAATAAATACTGAAATACTGAAACTCTTTGCACTTGGGCCGAGAAAGTAGTATTACACTTGATCTTAGCCAAAAGTCAAAAAAGGTGTGATTATTATTTCTCTAGCTCTATAATTTTATAAGAAGCTTCCATGTAATCCTTTTTACTTAAAACCAATGTAGGACAAGAAAATTAAATTTTATTAGGTAATTTGTAATTTGAAATAAACTCTTTAAATTAATTTTTATAAATTTTATTAGGTAATTTGTAATTTGAATTGAACCTTTTAAAATAATTTTTAGGTATTTTTTTTCGTTTATAAAGACTTTTTTTTTTTTTTTTTTATATTAATAACAAAATATTGAAAGCCAAAAGGCCAAAAAAGTAGTACTACACTTGATCTTAGTCAAAAGACCAAGAAAGGTTAGCCAAAAGGCCGACTCAAAAAAATTTAGTACTATACTTGATCTTAGCCAAAAGGCTAAGAAAGGTGTGATTATTATTTCTTTAGGTTTATGATTTTATAAGAGGCTTCCATATAATCCTTTTTACTTAAAACCAATGTGGGACAAGAAAAATGAAAATGAATTTTATTAAGTAATTTAGAATTTTAATATAACTTTTTAAATTAATTTTATATTAATATAAAAATACTGAAAGCCAGACCTAAAAAATTTTTGTATTACACTTGATTTTAGCCAAAAGCCCAAGAAAGGTGTGATTATTATTTTTTTAGATCTATAGTTTTATAAGAGGCTTTCATGTAATCTTTTTTACTTAAAATTAATGTGGGACAAGAAAAATGAATTTTATTAGGTAATTTATAATTTAAATTAAACTCTTTAAATTAATTTTTATAAATTTTATTAGGTAATTTGTAATTTGAATTAAACTCTTTAAATAATTTTTAGGTAATTTTTTATTTATAAAAACTTTTTTTTATATTAATAAATAAATATTAAAATAATCAAATACTTTATACAATTAATATAGATATAGATACAGATACAGATTTACACTCAACTTTCAAATTGAGGGAACCATCACCAGGCAAAGCTAAGGACCCCTATTAATATATGTATACCCACATTTTAGTGGGCCCTCTCCATTCCACAAATTAAATGACAATCATCATATGGGACCCTCTTTTTACTTCTCCTATTCAATTTCAATATAATTTTGCATGTATTGCCTCTGATGATCATTCACAAAACAATTTAAGAGATGATACTGTAGTGTCATCATCAATAGAGAAGATAAAACCTTATTTTGGAACCATAGGGTTGAATGGCAGCTGATGACGTGTGTGTTACATGTTACTACTGATATTCGTTGTTTCAAGGATTCAATTGCAGAGGCTCGAGAAAGCAACCCTAGAGACAAGACTCTGTGTGATTACTGTTTAGTACTATTCCACCAGTGATCAGTTACGCACTAATGTCCAAACAGTGTGACTCACCCTATCTGGCTACTCTCAGCAACAGTAAGGACTTTATGGTCCAATTTTATGTAGAGATGGGTCTACTGTGTCTGCTCTTCACTCGACCCAATTATCACCAGATTTTAAATAGACAACTATACCCTCTTTAGATTCTTTGAATAATAGTGGTCTTTCCTATTATCTTAAATAATAGTGGGACATAATTTTTGAAATTTTAAAATTACAAAAATGATGCCCCCTCTCTGCCCCTTTCTCTCTAAAATATAATTTTTATAATTTTATAAGATGTTTTTGTAATTTTAAAAATAATTTTTATTTTTAATTTAACATTAAATAGTAAGATTGAATGTGTCATTTTATAGTCTGATTAACAGGTCAGATACAAATACTGAAGCAATATAATCACTTTTTAAAAGTATAGAAATTTTCTGAAACTAGGAGTCTTATCATCAAATCTTAGAAACTGTTTTATGATTTTAGCCGTCTTTAATAATAGTGTTGACTTTAACCCAATTGCGTTAAATAACCATTATACCTTTTGTATTTTTAATTAGTTCAACATAATATCAAAGCTTTTTAAGGAGATTTCTCGAATTTTAAGCAAATTTTGAGTCTTTGGCAGGAGGTCAGTGTTATTCAAACTTAAATCATAAGGAAGGTCGGGGTTATATTTAAAATTAGAGGAAAAATTCATGTTTTTTAAGCAATTTACTTTAATTTCTTCTAAAAATATTACTTCAACGAGAAATTATTATATGGTTCAGATCCATTTGACACGGACCAGTTAAATTCAAAATATTATTGAAATTTCTTTGTAATAAATTAATATTCTTTGTGTAGTCATTTTCTCAATCAAAGAGTTTAAATTGAATTAATTCATCAAGTATTGATGGACCTGAACCATTTAATACACACACAATTTCCCCAATCCGACCTAGATCTACTACACACACAAGTTTTAAAAACCGTGAACACTGAGTTCGGAGCAGCATACCGTGACCAATTTTCATAAATCCTCAAGCATTGTGTACCAATTTTCCACATAAAAAGAAGAAAAATGAAAAATAAAAAGGGTCGCTGAAACTTGAGGATTCCTCAATTTCATCCAATGCCCACCTAAACAACAGCTACCAACCTCCACCACAACCACCATCATTTCTCAATCACAACACCCCTCCATTGCTTCAGGTAACATCAAGTATGGCATTTAACATTTTAAAATTAAAGCACTTACTGTGTGTGTCAATTCTTCTTCTTCTATCCCAATTACCTGTCAGACAAAACTCCCAGTTATTGGAAATTTTGCATATAATATAGTACAAGTAGAGGCATCATTTTCATGTGCCACTATTGGTTAGAGGATGGTGGAATATTCCTAAGCATAAACCACCAGTTTGATAGAGAACGATGGATCAAACGACCCTTTAATTACTTTATACCAGTGGGCAGTGGTCTCCAACTAATCATACGTATATAGTTTGTAAGTTATTGAATATATACCCACGTATAAAGTATTGAAAGTGAGGTGAATAACTAGAAATATTTTATTACTTCGGTTGTATTGATAATATAATATTATCAACTAATTAAATATTAACTCATAATTATTAAACTCAATAAATATTATTAATTGATGACACGAATAACTTAATATAACTGGTGCACAAAAGTCTTTCTCGTCAATTACAATGCTTCCCACTTAGTCGAAGGTCCTACACAAATCAAACCTTTAATATTACTCCGTGCTATCGAGAATCAAAGTAGTGTTTTCATTTCTAGGGTTACTGGTTTAAATGGTACTAACTTTCCTTTTTACTAACATCATTATCACAGAAAAAAATAATAATATTAAAAAAAATAACAAAACTAAACTATTTACAAGTGCAGAAATTGAGTTGAAATCACACAAAATTTGGTATTACACACACTAGTATGTCAGTTACCCTTTATTGACTTACAAACTATAATCATGTTTTTGGTCAATTTCTCATCAATATCCATCACCATTAATGATCCTGAATTACCATTCAACTTTCTATCAATCCTGCATCAATTCATGTCTACAATTGAAACCAAATTTCTATAACACAACTTTTTATGGTCCCTCCTCAATTTTCATGTCCTTGTGCTGCACAAAATTAAACCTAGATACATCATTACATCATCTTCACATTACTGAATTTTCCCCTTTTGAACATGAACAAATTTACAATTATACTTCCAAAAATAGTTGCATGAAATATACATAAGCACAAACTAGCACTGATATAAAAAAAAGAAAAAAGAAAAAAAAAAAAAGAAAAGACATGACACTTCCATCACCTTTCCACCAACAAAGCAGCCCCACCACCATTACCTGTAACATCACCAGCCATTCAGAGAAGAGGCTAAAGACTGGTAGGTCAATGAACAATGTGGCCTAAAACCACAGTAAGAGGCAGGCAGCATCTTCTAAGTGGGTAGAAGGTGCATTGTCTCACATGAAGGCCAAAATTCAACTGCAGCATGACATGAATGATGATACAAGTAAAGACAAAACACGGAGAGGAGAGAACTATGCCATGCTTGTTCCAAGAGAGTTTTTTTTTTTTAAGTTCCATCAGTACAAGTATAGACAACAAAGGGGAGGAAAATACAGGACAAAGGAGGAAAAAAAGAAAAAATATAAAATCTACCAACTTTCTGTACCACTTAGACTAACCCTAGTTCATTAAACCCTAACCCTACCATCCTCTTCCCCTTCCCCTCTGATGATCTGTTAGACAAGGACCTTCTTGTATTTTGTTGTGTTAACTCACAAGCTCTGTTATGTTACAGATCATTAGTCTACACTTAAAATTTTTGATACCCCTACTTCTTTACAAGTAAAACAAAGGTGCTGATGGAAAATGCAAATACTATCATCACCATAAAAAAACTAACTAAAAACAATTCCTGCGAATATTTTCAACTATGCTACGGATTCAGGTCAGCAGATAATTTGCAGGAAAAGATAGTCCTGATGGAAAACACCTTCTAAGGATCCAATTTCACCCATTCATAATCTCCGGGGAGGGGCTTCTCGTTCACCGGATCAAAGTTGTACCTGCAGAAATGATCCATACGGAAGAAACCATTAGGAAATGGTAATATACATGGACACGCCAATTGTACAATACATGAAAGAAAGCCATAAGCAAATAAGATCATACTAAAGACATGCTAGAGATATAAATGAGGGGTACTTCTCAATAAATTGTTTCTGTTGCTCTTCTTCTGCACCAGCAAAGAACTCATCCATTTCATGCGTTGTTGGGATGTGTCTCTGAATTGAATTTTGTACTCTCTTGTTGGTCTCGTTCAAGCAGGTGGGCCTCGTCGTAGAACCAGGGGTTCTGATGTTGTCTGCATCTCTTATCAAACTGCAAGGTGTGCTTTCCCTGGTGCTCCTGTCACAGAGACGTAATCCATATCAAAACCAAATAGAGCTACCTGCAATCTAATATTTAGAGAGTGAAAGAAAAGGAAATAACAGAAAAACCATGAAAAGCTCTGTATCACAATTCACAACCGGTCTCCTGTATGTAAGAGAACTGATGCCCAAAAATAAAAATAAAAAATAAAAAATAAATAAAAAAAAGCACAGATTTAGCAGTATGCCAACATGTAAGACCTAAAGAGCTTTAGCTTTTGGTAGCCATAAAAGGCTTTCATGATATTTTTTCCCCCTCATTCAATCGTTCAGCCATGCAGGACATTACTCGTACATTTCTCAATTTGTAATTGGGACCTACCAATCATTTAGCGAATACAGCTTTACAACATAACATAGAACACCAATATAACATAGAACACCAATATTAATGCATTCATCATGCTACAATAAAAGTAAAGGGTAAATTCACCTTTTTTTTTCTTTTACAAAGATAAGCTTCAATTACCAATGGTCCACCAAAAGACTGCAACTTTGGAGAGTTGTTAAAAACTCTTTCCTTTACCTACCAAAAAAAAAACTCTTTCCCCCTTTTCTAATTATTTTTTTCTCTTTTTTAATTAATATATTTCTTTCAAGGTAAGTAGTACTAATGAGATATTTCTCTGATCATGAGCCACTTTTTTTTTTGATAAGTGATCATGAGCCACTTGATACACCATAAATCAAGCATTGAGCCAAACAATATTTGGTACCAATCTAATTAGATATAACGAAGGAGGTTGTATAAGCATTGACCATGCTCAAAGTAGTTTGAGAAAAGTGTTTCCATATCTAACCTGTTACCCAAAACATCTAGCCCCAAATAAAATACTTATCAAAAAAAAAAAAAAAACACATCCAGCCCCAAATAAAATGGTCATACAGACCTACAATCCTACATCATTCTAGTTATTTTATACAGAGGCATCACATGGGAAATTAAAAAATGAAGAACAAAGAATTTTTTTAAGATTAATGAAAAATAAAATCATCAATGTCCAGGAGACAAAAAGATAAAAAATCTGAGGATGTATTAAATCAAGAAACCAAATATTAAAACCACCAATTTCTAGGGGGGAAAAAAAAAAGAGTAAGTCAAATAGGGTGCTATATGCATAAATCCAGATAAATGTGCAAACAGGGCAGCAAAATATTTTGAACTTGAAATCTAGAAGTAAGCTACTTTATCTCAAGGCCCTAAACAAATTTTGAAAATAAACCATATCATTAAAAAAAATTAACTCTGAAAACAAATAGAACACAGTACTGGAGGTGTCAACCAAAAATTTAATTGTTTTACCAACAGTTTTCTTCTCCTGCAGCAGGAAGTGCTAACAACAGAAAAAAAATACAAAATTTAACAAATAAACAATACTCGAGGTTTCATGAGCCACAATTATGAATAATGGTAGTATACACAATACTCTATGCCAGAACTACTACAAAATTCCCACCACAAATCATAAACAGACACTCAGGACTGAGAAGTGAGATTTCTAATAAATCAAAGAAAAGGAAAGAAAAAAAAAAATCCCAAACACCATAAATCCAAGAAAAATGGTGAAGGGAAAACCAAAAAAAGAGCATATAAGTCAAACGTAGTAGAGAAAGATTGAAATTAATAAACTACAACATCAAATTAACAGCTAACTATACAGAAAGAAACCAAATATATATATATAAATAAATGAAAATAAAAGAAGAAATTTCCCAAAGTAAATTTCTTCAATAAAATATCTGACAATAGCACACAGGAAAAGAAAGAAAAATGCCGATTACCCTAAGCAATTAAGCAAAAGGAGCTAATTCGATTATTCAGCCAAAATGCGAGACAAGAAATTTCCCAACTCTCTATTTAGCTGGACATAAAACTGAGGGAAACAAAAGAAAATTAAAATCTGAATCGTATGTTTTATGTTGCTTCAGTTCCCCAGATAAGAAAATTTCACCTAGACTTGGTCAGAAAATTTCACCTAGATTTGGGTACTTTCTTGCACCCCATGACAATTAAAATGAAACACGCAGAACTTCAGACTTTACTCCCCAAATTTTTTCTCAGACCCAAAACAAAGAATTCCTAGCAGGATAAAAAATTTCCTCACCCTCAAAGTTAAGAAAAAGGGAGAAAAATTGATTGCATTAATATCCTACATATTCTCAGCAAATGAAGGGATACAAAAATTTTAGTCAACATTACTAATTATAGCAGGAAAAAAATAAAAAAAAATTTAAAAAAAACCAGAACGACCGGCTTCAAAGTTCAAAACATTTTCTCCACCAAATTAAAAAACAGAAACCGGCTTGTCTTTCTTCAAATTCAAAACACTACACTAATATTAGAAATTGAAATTTTAATTTCCTTCTCTTTATCACATTTTCTCAGCAACCAAACAAACAAAAACCTTCAGAAAACCATAATTGCAAAAAAAATCAGACTTTAAACAAGAAAACCCAGAAAACCCACCTCTCTCTACCTTCAAATTCCAACACATTCTCTCCAAAAGAAGCTTCAATTCCCACATCAGCACCGTTCTTGTTTCCGAGAACCTCGTTCTCTTCACCCACCACATCCCCTGTCACCTCCTTGTTGTTCAAAGAATCGAGCGAGACCGACCCCGAATTCAACCTCGACCCCGTTCTAGAATTAGGGTTTTGGTTCCGGCTAGGGTCTGGTAGACAGCTTTCTTTGTGAGGTTGCTTCTGCCTTTTCGAATTGCCTCCACTCAGGAAGATCGGAGGCTTCTCGAGTCGTCGGCTTCGGAGCTGGAGGTACGAACCACCGGAAACCGCCGCCGTCGACGGGTGCGTGACCGCCGATTTCTGAAGCCGTTGCAAAGCAAGGGTTTTGGCCCGAGTTCGAACACCAAGAGACTGAGAAACCTCCATAATCGCGATCTCACCTTTCGTCCTCGATTTCCTTATGTACTTACCCATCTATGAATTTCTCAATCTATGTTGGTGCTAAGTTCGCATGGAGAGAGAGACGGAGACAGAGACAGAGACAGAGACAAGTGGAAGAGGGAAAATACAGGTGGAGGAACAAGAAGAGAGAGAAAGTGGGGGATAGAAACCAGGTGGATGAGAGAGGAGAAAATGGGATTTTACTGTTGTTGGTTAGAGAGAGGAGGCTGGTTTCTGTTGTTTGTTAGAGAGAGAGAGAGAGAGAGAGAGAGAGAGAGAGGGCCGTTTGCAGCAGTTGGTTAGAGAGAGAGAAATGGAGAGAGAAGAGGGAGAGTGAGCAGAGCAGTCTTGTATTTATACTACCTTTTGGAGAAGAAGAGAAAGAAAAGAAAGAAAGTAGGGTTGGGGTTTCAGGGAACTGTACTTACCCCAATTTCTCACGCTTTATTTATAGGAATCTCCTGAATATATCGACTCCTTCATTTCTTCTTTATTTATTTATTTTTTTATCCTCCTTTATTTTTATTTATTTTTTTATTATTATTATTTTTTTCAAATAACTGACATTAGTATGTAGGACTTGAATTTTTAATCTTTCACATTGAAATATGTGGAAAAATATTATTGACTTACAACTTTACAACCACTGTCTCCTTTTAAATTTTAAATTTATATTATTTTGTATCTTTTTTTTATTATTGAAATTGAGAAATTGGTGGGAGTTTTATTTGAAACAAAGTTTCATGCTAGAGATGATTTTATGGCAGTCATTGAACCACAAGTTTAAACTAACATCGGCTACTAATCTTAAACTTATTCTTGGTGCGTTGACTGCTAATTTTAAATTTCTTTTTTAAAATTTATTAATTAAATAAATTAAATATAGACAAACGAGAAAATGACATCAAAATATAAAATAAAATAAAAACTAGAAGATAGTGTCAGGGTCATATATGGCATATATTTTTTTAATTGGTACTCACACACACATACCTTTACTGAGGCTTGAACTCTTAACCTTCCTTGAAGGAAGTAGGAGTTTGGTACCGCTAGGCCTGTTGAAAAAAAAATAAAAAAAAAAAAGAAAAAAAAACGAAAGAGGTCAAACAAACATTGACTCACCGTAAAAAAATTCCGACATCACACCAGGTTATCAAATCTCAAGAGTTGTGATACATCTCGAATCCGAGACACGGGTTGATCAGGCCCAAGTCCAAACCCGAGAGAATATCAAACAATTAATATTTCAAAATGAATACAGAATATAAAAAGATTTAAGAATTAAATAATGCAGCTGAAAGAAATACTAAAATATAAACTCCTCCAAAGTTAAAGATTTATAAAATCTAATTCTCCAAAACCTCCAAGATTACAACTCGGGAATCCATGTAGTGGACCCCTAAATCAAATCCCAACTGAACATAAAATAACTGGAAATAAAACCAAATCTAAAATATGGAATGAAATCCTACGTCGCCGGTAGAGTAAATGATAGTCTCTGCTCAGCACGATCAAGCCTGAGACTGGAATCGTCCGATACCTAAAAAATATAAGAATGGGTCAGGCCCACGAACAAGTTCTAATCTAACTGCAATCCATACAGTGACCCGATACGCAAATACGTCATAGATATCTCACAATATCTATTTAGTCCATAAATGCATATATGACGGGCGGGTAGCCGTTCCTACATGCCAAATTGATGTGGTGAATGTATGGTTCAAGAAAAACCTTTTATGTCAAATTTAAATGTATAAAAATCACTACCAACACTTCTACTAACGTAGCAAGAGTGAGTAGGAATCGTCCTAAGGGATTATGAGAATCGAGCAATGTCGTCGAATCACAATTAGGGTTAGTAGGCTGAGTGATCAAACAATTGGTTGGTTGGTTAATTAAAAATCAACTAAATTAAACCAAGTAATAGCAAAAGAGTGCAATTAAGAGTAAGTAAGAGAGAGAGAGATCTTGGGGTTTAGAGATCACCACCAAACAATGTATATTTATATCATTGACAAGTGATTAATGAGTGCAAATGGTGTGTTGCAATATTGGTGTGTGTGTGTATTTGGTTGATTCAACATGCAAGGATGACTAGTTAAGCATTTATTGTCTAAACATCATGTGAAAGGCACAATATATCTAAGTAATGAAGCATATATTGTCTAAACAACATGTAAAAGGTATAATAAATCAAAACAAGTCATTAATCATTTCATTAAGCTCACAATCCAAATACAACACAAGGTTAGAGATATATGCTAATTGCATTCCAAAGCTTGGATCATCAAACAACAAGCATAAATTGTCCTCCCATTTAACACTACACTACAACTACACTACATCTACAATACTAGCATGAAAATAAACTAGGGGAGAGGCACAATCTATCAAGAGATAAGCATGAACCATCAAGAGAATCATAAAAGCATTCATTTAAGCACTATGTTTTGACAATTTCCAAATCTATAGCATCAATACACATAGACATGCATTAATAACACAAAATCTAGAGACAAGCACATGAACATCTATTCTAGCATACATAGACATATGGATAGAATGAAATGACCAATTGGAAGCATTAAACCACATAAATCATTGAATAAACAAGATCTATATATATATCAAAGTGTCAAAACATCAATTACAACACTAATCCCTCAATAATACACAAGATTAAGATATAGAAAGCATGATTGGGGCTAACTCTAGGCCTAAGAGGATGTCTAGCCACTCATGGTGATGATGCTCCAACCCTTAAGGGCTAATTTCATGGTTGAAATCTGCTCCTTGTTGATAAAGAACTCCAATGGTGTTTCTAGCCTCCTCTTCTTCTCCAAGAGATGATATGAAAACAATATTGGCTCTTTTTTCTAAAAGCAATCCTTATCCTTCTATAGGTAGGTCAAAATGACACCCAAAATGAGCTGGGGTCGTGCACACAATATTCCCTAATGATTGGATAAAGGACAACTTTCAATGAGATGGAATTTTAACTTTTTCGCACTAGAGGAAGTTCGATCGATCGAACCTTGAACTTGGATCGATCAAAAGTAAATAAGATCGATTGAACTTAGGCTGGATCGATCCAATTGGCTGAGCTTTTTGGAAAAAGACAAATCCGAGATAGTTATGGGAAAAAGGACAAAAGTGGTTAGTGGGTGGTACAGCTGTGGATAGGATCAATCATTTGAATAAGGACAAAAGTGTTCGATCGATCGAAGGATGGTGTTGGATCGATCGAACTTTTGGAACTTTATGCTTTTGTGTCAAGGCTTGGATCTATCTTGAAGTGCTGAGATTGATCATTGTTCGATCGATCGAACCTTGAACTTGGATCGATTGAACTTTGCTGCTTGCCACCTTTGGCTTCATTTGCTTCCTTCTTTCTCCACTTTGCTCATTTCTTTGTTTAATCCCAGAATTACTTCAATTAAGCTCTTATTTGGCTAAGTTAGCTTATTTTCAGAATAAGTACTTGAAAAAGGAAATAATACGAAATCAATCTAAAACGGTAAAGTAAGATAGATAAAGGTATTAGAATGCCTAAGCTTAAGGGGTTTAAATACGCACTTTTCAGTGCTCATCACACCCCTAAACTTAAATATTGCTAGTCCCTAGCAATGAACTAGAAAGTAAAGGAATGAAATAAACAACTATACAAGTATGAATCTAGAAAACAATAAATGGATAACGCCACTTTCGTAGGGAACACGATTGCACTTAGCATATGCAACAAGCCTTTTAAACCCCTAGGTTACCCCTAGTGGACAAGTGAAATCTCCTGAGGGTTTCCAGAAATAGTACCCACAAACATTAAGCTCATTCTTTCAAAAGAGGCACCAATATTGCAAACAAGCATTGGGAAAAAACTACCTCAAGTATGCATTTTTTAACCCTTTTCTAAGCAATCTCCCAAAATTTTAACATCAAGTAAGCAAGTATGGTCCTCCACACATCAAGAAAATGATCATGTAAATCAAAACAACTCTAGAATCCTTTTGAGTGGACCGGCATCAAATGTGTTGCTATCTAAGCCAACTAAAGAATTAATCACATCCTTACCCTCAAACTAGCACACAAATCTAGTACTGATCATCAAGACACAAAGTGGACCTTTTATTAAATCTTTATTGTTCTAGGTGCGCTTATTCTTTTCACTCGATTTTTTTTTATTACTATTATTTTTATTTATTTATTGAGGATCAAAGATGGAAGTATAATGCAATGTGTTGATCTATTAAGTTTTCTAGTGATTCATGAGGTCGAGCGTTAGGTCAATGACTCCCAAACTAGACGGCTTTAGGGCATTAGGCATTCAAATACCCATACGGACTTACAAGCTCAAATCAACTAGGCTACAAATCAAGACAACAACCATCTAATAATTTAATATTTCTCACCTTTTTGGGAGAAGTTCTCACTTTTTTTTTTTTTTTGAATTCAATTATTAACCTAGAGTTTGGGCCATCCACCTTTCGGCGCGAGAAGTTCAGTACTTGATGAGGCTAGAATCTCGGCTACTTAGTGAAAATGGGTTGTTATCCCCTTTATCAAGAATGAAAGCTTTCAATGCAGTACTAACTCAATTGGGATATAACCAATTCAATAATTAACAAAGCATGTACCCCACAAATGAATGCTAGTGTGTGCCGGTGCTAGTGTAGAATCCTAAAATGAATCTCAAAACAATCACAAAATCAAGATGATGTGGGCCACAAGTGCAAACATGATATCAATTTTTTGAAAAATTTACTCCTAAATGGCATTCATAAGGCATACAAGGAGTATTGGACTCTCAAGTCAAGCAATTTTTAAATTTTAAGCAATATAGTCCTCAAAAGAACAAAATCATAACTAGATATGGACCAATCATAGAAATATCCATCAAATACACAAGTCATGCTAAAAATTTGAATTTAAAACTAACACTATAGAGCACCATTCCCCCCAAACTTAAATTGCACAATGTCCTCAATGTGTAAAGAGAATAAAGGAAAGAGTATACCAGTGCAACTAAGCAAGAATGATCGGGACTGAAGTATCCGAAGTGGGTGGCATTGCCCCCCAAAACTTGGGATGAACTGTGGTCCTGAAAATTGGCACTTGGATAAACTTATCAGATAACAAAATGGGATAATCAGTGCACAGTGGACATGCAAGTGTAAATGAGATGAACAGATAACGAAATGAGAGAGGTATAAGGGTGGTCATTGGGTGTCACTCTCTCACTGAAGTCACTGTGATGCACCTGATAGAGTCAAACATACAGATATTAGAATACAATAATATGACATCCATAGCAAAAATAGATATATATAAAACGGATAAAGTGCATGTACAACAAAAATATCAAAGTCGACAGACCGGCTGTAAAAATAATACATTGACAATAATAAAGTATCAA